GCGACAAGCACAGTGTGCACAATCTTTGCGCTACTTGCTAACAGTCGAAATTGTCGTAGCTACAATGGATACCGTGATATGTAGCAGGATTGAACGAGGAAAAACACTCAAAACTGTGCACCGAACAGTACAACTGTACAAGCAAGCTTCTAGTACTGTACCCTACAATCCTACACGACTATCGGGTACTCGTTTGCTAACGGATCAGCAGCTAAACAGACGGGTACCCGGGTTACCCGGATCACCCCTTTCGCCCCTACTGAGTTTGTACCAAAGATTTTCCATTGCAATATCCTTTTTCCTCCTCCAAAGGTCCATTTTGGTTCTTTTACGACATGCATTTAGATACTGTTGCTATGCTTCCATAGGCTTGAACAAGTTCTATTTGGACGGACACAACATACCGCCCTTTTTCCTGACTCATGCTGAACATCCTTCTTCCTTTTCTCGCACTATGTCAATCTGCATGGTCACGATTCAGCCAAATATCAAAACGCACGACATTGTTTCGTTCGCTAATTACCGTTACCCGTCGTCTCACGTGGCTTCAGAACATGTAATGAGAGTTAAGAGAGTCTCCAGCAGGCAGCGCATCCATCGTCAGGAAATGGAAAGAGCAAACGACAATGTCCTTGGTTGAGGTAAATGATGAACGTTTGATTTGTCCCAACCAAGATGTCAGCACTTGGTTCGTCACGATCTTCGCTTGCCAGCTAGCGTCTCCGCCCTCCAGCTTTCTCCTGTCGGTGTCACGTCCCAGTACACAACGGAGAGGACTACTAATAAACAGTTCACGGCGCTAACAGCACTGAACACAGCACATATTTCACTTCGTGAATACAATAAGACAACTGAAAATGACACAATTCTGAAGTGATCGACCTTTTCTCTCACGGAGCTAAGCAGAATGTGCGTCATCACCTGTAGTCGCCATGGAAACGCAATCAGAAAATCGGCGATATGGCAAGTTTTCAATATCGTACGGAGGCGAGAGATATACCATCGGAACCGATATGAAATTGTCTTTCATCTGAGCCCTACTTGAAATATCTATGCACTTCTCCTTTAAGGGTGCCAGATAACAGACACTCACCTCAAATTTTATTCTTCCTTTTTTATTAAACCCGGCACGTTCGGGCTCTCCGCCTTCTCCGTGAAACAAAAAGAACTCTAATGACATGAGGAATATGGATCGAAGTCGGATCTTGTCGGACCAACCAAAATGGTGCTGCTACGGGCCTACACTGTCCAGTCCTGAGGTTGAGGGTGCCGGATAACAGACACTCACCTCAAATTTTATTCTTTCTTTTTTATTAAACCCGGCACGTTCGGACTCTTCGCCTTCTCCGTGAAACAAAAAGAACTCTAATGACATGAGGAATAAGCATGGACATAGCAGGTTGGCACCGCGGCACAGCATCAGGTGCCGAAACTGTTCAACAGAATTAAAGAATGATTTAAACTATAACAAGAAGAGTATGTTCTCGTGTGGGAAACAGCAAAACAATAATGGAAAAAGGATAAAAGGAGTGATACGGGCGTCGCAGGTTTCACAAGAGTCGGTACCAACACTGTTCAACCAGTCTAAGATCTTCCCACAGATTATCAGTATCACTATCGACAAAGCAATGCATACAGTAGTTCCCCATATCATCCGTTGTCCATATAATGATGAAAATAATGTGCGCAGTGGCTGTCACGACATGCCTTTGGTTTAAGCCCAGGAAACGCACACGTTTGAGAGCAACATGCAATAGGAGGTGCCAACTTCTGAGACAAAGCAGGTGACCGACCCGCAACAGGCAATGGTGCTGAAAGTGACGACATTGCAGCAGGTGACGACACTGCAGCAACTGACGACACTGCAGCAGGTGATGGCACGGCAGCACGAGGTGCCAATTTCTGAGACAAAGCAGGTGACCGACCCGCAACAGGCAATGGTGCTGTAGGTGCCGACGCTGCAGCAGGTGACGGCACTGCAGCAATTGACGACACTGCAGCAAGTGACGGCACTGCAGCAGGTGACGGCACTGCAGCAACTTATGACACTCCAGAAGGTGACGGCACAGCGATAGGCATAACCAGCGAAGGCATTGCAGAAGCTGTTGACTTCTGATGTTCAGTGAACAGCTTTCTGGAGTGGATCTCTGGTAAGATATGGCTGATGTTATGTAGAATGCTTTCAACTTCGGTAGCAAAGTATCATTCCACAGTACACTGTCACGAAATATCCTCTCAATGTGAAGATTGGTGGGATAAGGCGCGTCGGTCCGCATGACAAAGTCTGCCCACTCCTTGTCCATCACGGCCAATCCTCCCTGCACCCGCGTGCAGAACTAGTGAGTTCTTCGCAATAGCAACTTGCCTCCGTCGCTTGTAGTCAAGCGAAACTTATGCCCAAACTGGTTGGCCGCAGGAGACATCTTGTTAACGGACACGCCATCGATTGAAAGGGACATTTCACCTCAATTAGGCCATGCAGATCGGACGGAGCAGGATCGTACAGCAGCCCATGGGAAGAAGCACCGATGAAGGAGTACTCTTCTCACCGATGAAGGAGTACTCTTGATGAAGTGTAACAGCAGATGGCATGTGACGTACAGCAATATCTGACTCAAAAACAAAATTCACAAGTCGCAAGTAGTCCTCCACGGCCTTCGCTTCATGCATTATACCCCATTGAATAGCCGTTGTCTTTGGCATCTTGCAGTAACCCATGATCGTCTTCACCAAGCTGTCTGGTGATGTAGTCTCCCTACGGTTTACGACAACATGAAAAATAGAGGAAGTGATGCGGCCAACCCGAATGTCACGCCAAAGTGGCGATCTTGACTGCTTCTTCGTGACACTCTCGATATAGGAGGCCAGGCTGCTATCAATGGAGCTGTCATTAGCAAGATCAGTGCACATCGCCACACCAACTTCCTCATCCACGTCATCACTGAAATGATCTGTCCTAGGGTGTCGTGACATAACCAACTGCTTAGCCTGCTTGTCGAAAGTGTGCATAGCATCCTTCTTGGCCAAAGATGGGTGGTTCCAGAATTGGAACAAGCCAGATGTTGGCAGCTTTGATGCAAATGTATCCAGTAATTCCTGGACACAATGGTCGTCCACAGCAAGGTCTTGAGCAGCTCTCGGTTCAAAGGTGGACATAGAACCTCCACAGACCTTGCGGGATTCCTTGCCATAGGCAGTGGCCACAAACACAGCGTCCGCCAATGGGACAGGAGGTACTGATAGCTGGAGTGGAGGATGATGCCCCGACATCAAGCATCCAGTGCATGTTGCGTCTGCCTGTATCGTTGTGGCACCTTTCTCCTTACAGTCAAGGAGGTAGAACAGGAGCGCGGCGACATGACTGCAGCTCTCCCCCAGTCCAGCAGCACACTTGCATCTGGCACTATACACAGCCCCTTGAGGCGACATAGTAATAAAAACTGGGTAGGCCGATTTCTCCCCTGACGGATAGGACTGGTGCACATGCCCTCTAGCATAGATGTACTAGGGCTTCACGGAATCAGGGCAGCACATCCAAACATTGGAAACCCACCCACTGGTGAAATAGCTATAGCCTTTCAGTGACTTGAAGTTGCTGCACTGACGGTCAGACGAGGATTTGTACCTCACTTCCACGAGGTACGTGTGTATGTCCTCGTAACTAAAATTATCAACAAGGAAATCGTGTACCCAACACGAGACAGAATCATACGTTGGCAAGGCTTCCAATTCTGCCGCGATCTCCACTGTTTTCGCGGACGCTTCTGGCGCAACATGTGGCGGCGCTGAGGCTGCAGAAGACGTCTCAGCAAGTCCAGCAACGGTCTCCACCAGCTCAGTCTTCCTTTTATTGCTGTGGACAATTTTGAAATGTCTGCACAGCTCCTTCAGCACAGGCACGTTTGCTGACTCTAAGCGTTTCCTCCACTTTTCGACATCATCCTGTTGAGACTGCACTGCCTCGACAAGCTCCTCGAGGGATGCCATGTCGGAGAGAGAAAGGAAATGTCAACGACAGCAATTGTTCTCAATACAAAATGATGTGCATACACCACAAAAAAAACCGATCTTTTGCCTTACGCTGCGCCGTGGGCGTCAGATCACGTGCACGTCGTGAAAGTGGTCTATGCATACATACCGCCTGCAAACACGTTCATTATTTTAGCATGCACCACTATACGAAAATAGAATCCGTACAAAAGGTCAAAACTCGGCTTTAATGGTCCGAAAATATTTTCGTCCGAAAATTTCCGGCAACACAGTACTCTGAAGTAGCTGAAACTAAATTCCTAAACTTCTACTGCTTGATGTCTGGATTCCAATTTTTTTCTATTTTTCTTTTCTTTTCCTTTCCACTTACCCCGTTATCGGCCCTCTTAAGAGTTGTGTGTATCACTGTTGAGGCATCCGATGGTAAATAAAATAAATACTACTACTACTATACTCCTACTACATATGACAACTTGTTTAAAAAATTGGCGATCAGAGTTTGGTGAATCACTGATATTGAAGTCAAAATTATAAATATTCAGAGCTTGCTGTCTACAGCATTGGGTATTGCGCTCCTCGGCTTTCGTCTTGTTGAGCACTCTCAGTAGGCTGCTCTAGTGCTGCTGCATCATGCAACGCCAGCTACTTTTTGCAGTTTGAGCACTCTGGCGCTAGAGCGACGAGCTATCTTAATGTCTGTGGTGTCTCATTTGCAGCATGGCTGGTAGCTCGGCCTATTTAGCTCGTAGCTGTACTGATGAGGCCTTTATGGCCGAAACAGCTTGCCCACATTCACAACACCTCTCAATAGCGAAGAAGTTCGTTCTTGGGTAGATGTTTCATAGCCCCCAGAGTCCAGACCTCTGTTTCGCTCATTTTAAATTCTCCTCAGTTGAGGGAGATAACGAATGAATAGCAGATAAGGGAATGAAGTAAAGTGGCGCATTTGTGCACTTTCTACATGAAAAGAATGTATTGGATCATGTCCAGTTGGTTCGACTTACATGTACAAGTTGGAAGAGAAGCACCACTAGGCCAAGTGCCATTACTACCACACGTAATCACATATGATCTATTTCTCTGGTATCCTGGAAAACAATTAGCAGTAGCTGTGCCACCATTTGTAAAACTTTTAATACTGGTAGTATAATATCCGTTCGAGAGGTTTGGTGTTGGAGGACATGTGGCTGGTTGAAAACAGTGGATTCGACATATGCACACAAACACACGCGCACACATAAACACAGGCATACACACATGCACACACTTAGCCCTTTCAGGAACTACAAGTAAGGCAATAATATGTCCACTAACACCACCAGTTACTAAGCAATCAGCTCCTGCGATACCAATGCTAACATTCGTTTATATTTCGATCTTGTAGAGCACTAACAATAGGACGCACTTGCGCTGGTTGGCTTTATGTTTTGCCCGCTACGAGCTGTCCTAATGTCTGTGGTTCTCGTAGCCATGGCTGACAGTTCAATCCTATTTTAAGCTCGGAGTTGCACTGATGAGGCCTCCTTGGCCGAAACAATCTGGCTGTCTGCATCATTGAGTAACATTCTTTTCTATAAATTTATCCTTGGCTCTCCATCCGAGTCCATTTCTCCATGTGCTCCAGTGGGTATTTGTGCCAGCTCTGTTGAACGTTATTGACTTGTTAATGTCCAAGAACCGAACTCACAGGTAATATTTCAATAACACCACAACACAGTAGAGTGCCAATAATCTACGGGTTCAGATGTGGAGAAGGTTTAGATAAGGGGGTAGTCACGCATCCACCTAAGACATGCACACTCTCTCATGTTGCCATCATTTCGTAGTCTCTTCATCAGTTCCCCAGGATGTAGACACACTGTAGTTCCTCAAAATGACTCTATTGTCATACATTGTCACTCTCACTGTTGCAGAATATATCTTGTGCACCCCTTCAATGGTGCTTCGATTGGCGAACATGACCAAAAGCCCATTTCCGTCCCTTCAAGAGACAACGGAAATTGGCATACCGGATATGTGTTTGTTCGGATAATCGCCATTCAAAAGACTCTACTGCGATACATTGTCACGTCAATCTGTTGCAAAACATTTTGAGTACCAATTGAATGGTACTCGAGTGGGGATAATGACCAAGATCACAATTCCTTGTACTTTGTGCAGTGGTCTGGACGTTTTAGTGGTAGTGTTGAATACGAGAAAGGACAACTGACGACACAGTCATTATCCAGACATTACAACGGTAACAGGTAGGTTGGTGGAACGACATTTATTAGAGACGGGACGAAAGACCAAGACGAACGAAACGACTACATAGTGTTTATTGAAGAGTGAGTAAAGAGAAAGAGAGCAAGTCTGAATGGCAAGGTAAAGGGCCTGGGTAGCTATGGCAATTATGGGCGCGCAAGTAGCTACCCAGGCCAACGGAACAAAAGGAGACAAAAGGTGAGTACGCCAGTGCATGCAGGCCAGCTAGAAAAGGTACGGGAGGAGGTACATAACATACCTCCCCTGAGTGAAAAAATAGCCGCAACCTCGCGGGAAATAATAAGACGATGAGAAAAATAGAGAGAAACAATGACCGAGGAAGAAGAGAAGAAAAAAAAACGACAAAAACACACACACACACAACGCACGGACCTCACAAAAGTGTGTACTAAAAACGCACTACAGATCATTACAACGGTCAACGTTCCTGTACTACTTAGAGTGTGTACATGGCCAATAACGTTTTGATCCACAGAATTCGCCAAGGTAAAATTCCTATTCATCTCTCCGTATTCAATTGGTTTTTTCTGTCCCAGTCCACTCGTAATAGTCTCTCACTTCCCCGTGCTAATTCAGCCGCATTTACCAACTCTCCTCTGTTTTTGTCCTACAGCCTTTGGCTGCAACTTCCCCAGCATGTTAAGACATCAAAATGTCTTTCCAGCTTTAAAAATGCACTCCGATCGCATAATGTAGTACGATAGGATCTCCTTGCTGGATTCTTGTCTATCCTTCTTTCTTCTCTTTTTCTATATTCCTTTCTTTTCTTGCCATGGTTGACTATCACCCTCTCTCGCCCTTTGCGTGCCAATTGGTCATGAGTTGAGTGAAAAAAATAAAAATAAAAAAATTATAATACCAACGGGCCCAAACACCCCTTCAAAAACATGGCACAAAAATGATTATTGGAGTTCGACGAGGGACTTGAATTATATTCTGATGAATAGTATTTTGCTGGGCTAATACAGCCTAGTTACACTTTAATATACGACATAAATAAAAGAGCGTGGCTCACCATGATCGGACCCCTAATATTAATAAAGGACACCCGCGCACACACACACACTACAAAAATCACAAAATAATAATAAACCGAAAATAAATTTTACGACGAAGGACGGATGAAAAAGAAAGAGAGAAATAAAGAAAGTAGCATACCTGCATGACTTGGACGAGACGAGGTTGACATAGAAGAGACGAGGTTGACATAGACGAGAAGCGGTTCGAGACGAGATGGACATGGACGAGACGAGGTTGACAAAGACGAGACGAATGGCGATTGAGGACGACTGGGCATGGGATAATCTCAGGGTCGTGGGTCGATCAATAATCGGGCGCCAATGTAGAATACGAGAAAGGACGACTGACGACACATTATCCAGACATTACAACGGGAACAGGTTTTCGCTCATCCATCAAATTATACCCAGGGTTCCCTGTAAAAAGGCGCTGACGCCTGTTGGGAATTCCCTAGTAAAAGAAGAATAAATAAGAACAGGTAGGTTGGTGGAACGACATTTATTATAGACGACGAGACAAGAGACCAAGACGAACGAAACGACTACATGGTGATTATTGAAGAGTGAGAAAAGAGAGAGAGAGATCAAGTCTGAACGGCAAGATAAAGGGCCTGGGTAGCTATGGCAATTATGGGCGCGCAAGTAGCTACCCAGGCCAACGGAACAAAAGGAGACAAAAGATGAGTGCACGAGTGCATGCAGGCCAGCTAGAAAAGGCACGGGAGGAGGTATCTAACAGTAGTATTGGTGCTGCACTGGTCCGTTTCCGACAAAAAAACAGGTTTCCAAACTCTACCAAAGGGGTTGGGAAAACTGAACTGCTCCTACTGCTGAGGGCCAATGGCACGTATGCATAAAACATGGCGGCGGCGCGTCCAAATCCGGCTGCGGGGCATCTTTTGAAAAGTGTTTGAAAAAAAGTGAAAAGTATTCTCATGTTGAAGTAGTTTCTTTTGTGGGAGGAAGTGGCCCGGAGTTTCTTAGAGATTTCGGTGATGGCTTCATCTGCTGATGCTGTCGACTACTCGAAGTGGACTGTGAATCTTTTGAAGGCTGAGTGTGAGCGGCTGGGGTTGAAGAAGTCGGGGAAAAAGCAAGATTTACTGACGAGGTAAGTTCGAAGTATTTCTTGTTGTAATGCTGTGAGGAACTCTTTTGGTTTTCAACATCGATGCGTGTCTTGCCTACTATGTTCGTGTTGCAGATTGGAGAGCCATGTTCCGGAAGGCGGCACTGCACTCACATCAGGAAGTCCATCGAGCTCGTCCCTGGATTCCCCAGAACCACTGGCATTTCCTGTGTCTGGCTGGAAATCGTTGGTGTCAGGTCGATCGCAATCCGCTGCTTTCACCCAGTCTCACTTGATAGCGTATTTTGTTCAAACGGAGACACCGTGCGGAGATGGAACCAACAGAAACTTTAAAGCTATTGCTTCAACTGACCAGAAGTCTCGTCGTCTTTTCACCAGTGGATATGTGCAGAACATTGAGCTGCACAAGTTGAACAACGTCGTCTGTTACAGAGCACGCTGCATGCCTGAAATGAAGTCAAGGAGCGACTACAAGCTGAGGATGTGCGTGAGAATAGGTGACAGTGGCAACGTAGCTGAGATTAGCTTTGCTGATTGCTCGTGTCCTGCTGGTAAAGGCCCCCAAACCAGCTGTAAGCACTTGGCAGCTCTCATGTATGCCCTGGAGCATTTCACAAGGTGTGGCTACATTGACAGTCCAACATGCACTGATGTCCTTCAGACTTGGAATCAACCCAGCAACAAGAAAAGTGAGCCGATGACGGTGAAGGAGATGGACGGCTTGAGACCTGCGCCTAAGTCCGACCAGGCTAAGCGGAAGCGAAAGCACACAGCAGCGGAGCTACAAGACCCTCGATCATCAAGCAAGCGTGGTCTTGTACGGGACAGTGTTAGCGAATTGGCATATCAGTCATTCCACGGCAGTGCACCTCTGTTTGGGCTTTCTTTGGTCTGTGGCAGCACTGCTATGACGGATATCGACCGCGAGAGGAGGTGGCAACGGCAGAGGGACCAACAGGCACCGTGGCTGGAATTACGTAATGACGTTGCAGTCTATGCTGAGGAATCCGATCTTCCAGACGATCTGTCAACGACCTGCGACTGTGATGTGTTCTTAGATGGGAACTGTGACACCACTGTGACCGACGATGATGCCACCCCTCTTCCATCCGATTGTGAGTGGATGGATGCTGACGCCATTGATGACACCACGCCTGTTCCATCAGACACTGAGTGGATGGATGACAACGACAAGCAATGGCATTGGTACCAAGACAATGTAGTTGTAACACCTGAGCAGGCACACGAACTTCATGTCAGAACATCGGATCAGCATGGAAGTGACCTCTGGATGAGGCAACGCAAGTTGCGGATCACAGCTTCTATAGCAAAGACTGTTGCTCGCCGAAGAAGTTCGACTGATCCCGCGAGGCTTGTTAGTGCCATCACGGACCGGCCGTTCTTCTCATCAGCTGCAACGGATTGGGGAATCGCGAATGAGGATGTGGCCAGGGAGGCCTATGTAGAGGAACGCGGGAAGTCTGGCGACGTCGTGCACGTGTCGAAGTGTGGCCTGATCGTCAATCCGGAGGAGCCTTGGTTTGGAGCTAGTCCAGACGGTATTGCAGATGATGGCAAGACACAAGTGGTTCTAGAGATCAAGTGTCCGTATTCCGCACGCAACATGTCGTTTGACGAAGCTGTGAGGTCAGTTAAGAACTTTTGTTTGCAGTATGATGGCTCACACTACACATTGAAGCGCAAGCATGCATACTATTACCAAGTGCAAATGCAGCTCTTTGTCACTGTTTTATCTTCTTGTGATTTCATTGTATGGTCACGCACTGGTGGGACAAAGATTGATCGTATCGCA